TCCCCAAACAGAGCAAAAGAATTTGACATACAGATAAGTGAGACATATAGGACTACAACTAGCCATGATAAAAAAAAAAAATCTACACCTAGCCATGTAATAATCAAAATCCCAAAAACCAAACAGAAGAACAAAATACTACAAGCAGTTAGAGAAAAGAAACAAACCAAATGCAAAGGAAGACCATCAGAATCACAGCAGACTTTTCAACACAAACCCTCAAGTCAAGGAGAGTCTGGAGTGAGGTATTTCAAGCCCTGAAAGAAAACAACCTCCAACCTAAACTAATGTATCCTGCAAAACTATCTTTCAAAATTGATGGGGAAATAAGATACTTCCATGACAAAGAACACCTGAGAAACTTCATGACTACCAAACCAGCACACCAAACAATTCTCTACAATATCCTAGAAAAAGACAATGAAGGTCACAACTCCATGAGGCCCAACAGAACAAATCCATTAAACAAGGCAAGAAATTAAAGGGGAGACTAAAAAGAGCCAACAAGACAATAACATGACAGTGGTAAGTCAATACACATCAGTTATAACCATCAATGTTAATGGCCTCAATTCACCAATCAAAAGAAATGGACTGTCAGAATGGATTAAGAAGCAAAATCAAGAGTTATGGTTTAACATAACTATGATTAATTTTAGAATAAAAATTATTTTTATTATTAATTATCAATTATTTTAAAACTTGGAAAGTACACATAATCGGAAAGAGCAAACTTTAAAAAGAAAATCCATATCACCTAAAGATAATATCCATTGTAATATACTTTATATCTGTATCTATTGCCTACACATACACACACATTTTGTTTTGTTTTGTTTTGAGGCAGAGTTCCACTACACTGCCCAGGCTGGCCTCAAATTCCTGGAGATCCCCCTGCCTCAGCCTCACAAGTGCTGGGATTACAGGCATTGACACCACTCCTGGCTCACATATGCTTTGTTAATGGGCCAATACTTCAGTACTCGTGTGTTTGCTTCTCATTGTATTGCAAACGCCTTACCACAGTTAAACAAGTTATCAGAGGCCATTGTTTTGGACGCAGTTCCTGGACCAGACCCAAACAAATGAGACTAAAATTCAAAACAGAGTCACCCACGCTGAGGTCAGTCACCAAACTCAGGTGGAACTGTGTATTTGTCCTTCCAAGAAACCAAGAGAAATGAGATTTCCAGACAGGCGAGTTTTAGCTGGCATGGGGGAGAAGTTCCCTCCCTCTCAAGCCTCACACACACACACACGCACGCACGCACGCACGCACGCGCGCGCACCCACTCACACACCAAGGGTACCCTAAAGCCACCTGATGTTAAGCAATCTGTTATTTTTCTCTTCTCTCTCCCTGTCCCGCCCCCATCCCAGGAAAGCAACTGACCAGATAAACCTGTTTTTGTTCTTTGCTTGCTGCTATCTTTATCCCTTCTGTTTATAAAACCGACTTCTCCCGCTCTGCAGCTTGGAATCCTTTCATGGAATGAAGTCCCAGCATGGATCTTTAAAGTAACTGCAGCTGCGGTTTGTGACACTACAGCCTTGGGCAACAGCTTTTCTCCTGACTGAAGGATAGCTTGGTGCGCTGTTTGGAAACTATTGCTACCTGGTGCCCACTATAGGTTTGGAGCAGGACCCCCCCACACACGCACACGCACACGCACACGCACACACACACACACACGTCCAATGAAACTCGTGTGTGTGTCATCGGGCTCCTGATCACCGGGCTCCTGCCGGGGATTAAGTTAGAAAACGTTGGTAAATTCACCTGCTGGACGGTTCCTGTGGGTGGCATCCCAGACTTGTCACAGTGGCCTTGGGCTCCGCTCTTTGCCCACATGGGAGCCCCTAACCGTGGCTACCAGTAATCCACAGCTTTCCTCCTCTCCCCTGGTTTACTGAAAATGTACTGAGGAAGCCCCAGTCCCGCTCCCAGCCTCGCAATGGGACCCCACCCCAGAGCCGCGCGGAGCTCGAGCAGGGCGCAGCGCCTCCTCTGGCGGGGCCGCCCCGCTGAGTCCCG